CAAGTACTGTAGGTCCTAAGCGCACTACTGCATCAGTGTTCCAACATTCTTTACGTTACAAACATTATCGTCGGTTATAATATTTAGAGTGAATTTATTATAGTATTACCGGTGTACCATTTACCTCAGCATTTGAAATCTATAAATAATAAAGCAAGGTCAATCCGAGAATCTGAACTGTGAAATTAAGCGGAAGGGGAGGCATCTGAGAGGGATGGGTCTTTTGCAGATTGCTTGATCAATGAGCTAAAGCATTGGAATTTACAGCAAAATCTTCGAAAAGTTATGTCGAATAGAAGATATATTAAATTGTGTCAAATAATTATAACGCCGGTTATATCCCCCAATCCCTATTGTCTGAACAAAGGTGATTACCGTACTTATATATTATGGAACCGTTTATATTTGAAAACACTAATAAACTGAATCCTATATGGTGGGCTATATGTACAAAATTATTACAAAAAAATATATATATATTCTGTTAGTTTTTCATTACAGCATAAATACTGTAAGCACCTATCGAATTACTTAACTTAGTTCTGCGACAACTGCTTCCCAATCTAAGCAGCTTCGAAAATATAATAAAAATATCAGGCAAATGAGGTATGACTGGGATACATTGCCTATCTGTGTGGTCATTCCATTATAATTATGCCAAGGAGGTATAAAGATTATGCCAATAATTAGGAGTTACAACGAAAAGCGCTGTCATGTTACGTAAGTCAGAGCATGCAGATAACAACTAATTACAACCAGACACCATAGATAGATAATCACATAAAAACGATTTTGGCCAACCAGAACGACGTAACCACAACAGATAACAAGTGGACGTTAAGTCAAGGGGGGGCCTAAAGAAAACAGAAGACTTTTTCCCGTCTTGGATGATTGTTCAAACATGCAGGAATTACGGTACTGTATAAGTGAAACAACGTAAGACAATGCAGGGACCAGAGACTGGACATCTGGTGATTTTAGCTACACCCCGTGGTTACATCTAATATACACATTAACATTATTTATTAAAATGGAAGTTGAACCCCAGTACACGTATTGTCGAAATAGGCACATTTATGCCTACTTGATCGTCTAGCATTATTTGCATATTTCCCCGAACAAAAATTGTTGTTGACAACAGATAACCTATGAACTCGACGGCTCAATACCAATACAGTATATATATATATATATATATATGTATATATATATATATATATTGTGAAAAACCACAATTTTGTGGAAAACAATGGCTGGATCATGGTAGAGATACAAATTTGATAGGCAACAGCTAAAAAGTAAACATAATAAACAACGAGAAGAAGAACCAAAGTCTTAAGACTATAGTCCTTCCTCAATGGAGAATGATGATGTATATAAATGTATACATCATAGTATGGAACATATATAACTATAAAATCTCCCAACAATATAATATTTAGTTATTTTTTTTATTTGGCCTACGTTTTTATGATTTGTTATCCAAACATCAATTCAGTGACAGTGGAGTGTTAGATTAATACTTTTAATTATAATGGTAATAATAATGCTGTAAAGAAGAATTCTAGTTATACTTTCGTACATAGGCTTATTCATTTGAGAAAATTGATATATTCAAGATAATGAATCGAAATTTTAAATTTCTGTTTTGTGCAAAACACTTTTCACCAAAACAACCGAAGACTACATGCATATTTGTAGTGACGTTACTATAGGAATATTCATTTTGTACATACTGTAAATTACTTTATAATTCGGAGATCAAAAGGTCACGCAGAAAAGTTATGGAAAATTCACTGCAATTATGTTCATTGGTCGAAAACAATGCGGTACTTTCTTACATTGCAAGGAATGTTTTCAAAATCTTTTTGCGTTCAGAAAACAGATACAGAGGAAATGAGTAAGACTCAAGTTTTAGAAAACATTTTGCAAAAACGTTATAGGAAATATTAAGCCGTCGAGTTCATAGGTCATCTGATGTAAGACTTACACAATATTTAGTCAATAAAAACGTTTTTGTAGTTTGTGGAAATATGCAAATGATGCTAGACGATTAAGTAGACATAGGTCTAAACGTGCCTATCTCGACAACGTGTACTGTGTGTTTCAACTTCCATTGTAATACATAAAAATGATGATAATAATGTTTTTTTTTTTTTTTTTTTGTTTTTTTTTTTTAGATATTAATGTATTAGCACAATGACCTCATTATACAATTAGAGGATAACATCCATGTTTATATATTTTATTTTAATGTCAATACACACCAAAACGTTTGGAAATTGCTCTACAACAATCTATGGATAATCTTATTCTTTACGTGCCTGCTATGTGCCATCATCAGATTCTCTCTTGCTGCAAGACTGCATTATGACAGTGTACGTCTACAATAATACTTTGATTTGAAATTTTGAGGGATATAGGCTTTCGAATACCAGCACACGAGGACTGACTATTGTCATTTTGAAAATATCCCACGATTATTATAGTACACCTGCCCTTTCTCTGACACTCTTGATCTACAGACGACCACAGCTCTAAGCCTAGTAAAGAGGAATTATTATTCGTATTATACAACAAAGGTTAAGTTAACCGAAGCGATTCATTTCGCATGCTTCACAAAAATAATAATACAGGCCTAAAGTCAGTTTAAAACCATGTAGGCCTATTCATAAGCCTTTTGCGTTCTGTGATGTAAATTATTGTATACAGTGAGATGTAATTCAGCGTTGATTGCAGTGTTTTCGGCTAGGCGTTTACGACTTTGCGGGCTATAATTTATTTTCTAGTACGGTGTAGTAAATGATTAAGCTATGCCTCGGTAATTCAGTATGCACAATTTTTATTAATAATCGGTAGAGATCTCCGTAAAGATAAATGAACCTTCCCTGTATAGAATCTATTATATTTTATCCAAGTATAATGGGGTGACCTTGATGCATTGTTAATGACCGAGTTATAATCTTCCAGCGGTTCTGCATGACATGAGTCGAAAATAATAAAAGACAAAGTCTTCTTAATAAAAGACACAAGAATAGAAAATCGCTACGCCTGATGTGTGTGCTTGCTACCAAAACGACCTCTTTGTGCTTATAAACGAATGCAGTACTGAGAATTTAGAAGTTGTTTATATCTGTTTGCAACATGGGCATATTATGCTGATAATTTTTTTGGGAAAATACAACAGCACATGTGTGACAAATATGTAAAAACTACGCTAGTATGTTTGTTACTTCTTCAGGATTACAAAAGTAATATGACTACAGACAACCAGGTACTGTAGCGAATTCGATATACATTTAATTGCCTGTTATTTCTACTTACACAGCCTACATTATTTGTTATGTCTAATCATGGGCCCCGCAATCAAATACTTGGAAACTGTTGTTCATAGACAAACATTGTCTTAAAAACACGTGGGCATTTACTATTATGCGGTGTTGCAGTAATGAGATCGACAGTTTTTAGAGTATTTTACTGTGAATGTATAAGCTCAAAATTAAAATTGCAAAAGTGCAATGCTTTTATAATAAATTAAGTATCATTTTTGTGGTTTCACGATAGTGGAGACTTCAGTTGCTTTGAAAGGAAATTTAAGACCCATATTCTTGTAATGATGGGAACTAACGCCAACGTACACCCTACACCCTAGTCGTTAAGTATAACCTAAACAATAATTACTAATGTTCTATAGGACTATAAGCCTATTGCATTTAGGCCTACTTCAATTTATCGCTACTTTAATATATTAACACTCGAAACATGCTCCCCAATGTTTGATTTATAATTTTATGTTGTTGATGACACATGGGGTCCAAATTGATGATCGTATTCTCTTTTTACATATGTTAATTCGTTACTGATAATCAAATACCAGACAGACACTAAATCAACATCATTTAAATGCTATTAATCAATTGTGAATGTATTATTCCTTAGCATACAATCATAATAATTGGTAACATGATTTTAATTTATATAGCAATGTCGGTTTCAATCATAATGATATGTGAACATTTAAAAATTGCGATTAGAAAATTATCGATTACTTGACAACCTATTCCAAATATAAAAGCCAGTTGTTTAAAAACATAAATTAACATTGATAAAGTAAAAATTATAAATTATTGCCTTTAATATTGTTGGATCTTAATGTTTACTCGTATTCTTTCACTGATAATAGATTAATAAAATTCAATGAGCAACGAATAACAACGATCAATAAATGATACTAAAATATTCACATTGAAAACAAAATGTTATATTAATACAAAAATTAACAAATGAAGTAGAGGCGTGAAAATGAAATTCATAAGATATTGTGGGCCTACACAGATTTAGTTTGGTTTTCTCGCTCTCTTCCTCATTGGATTTTTAGTGCACTTTGCATGATTGCTCATTTTTGCTAAAAACTCTTCGCCTTCGTCTTATTCTAATTACAACGAATGGAAATTTTCTAGACGATGATTACGATTATAGATTGATTACGAAGAGAAACTGATCGTTCTCCTGATTACCCATCACAATGGAACCCAGGATTCGTTGTTGTATAGAAATATTAAAACGGCGAACAAGTGCATCGGCTTTGAAGATTGCAAAACACCGCATCACAGGAGATGAATATTGAATATACAATTTCTTGCTACTGCGTTTTAAAGTACATGATGAATCAAAGACCTTGGTAGTACAACTACTACTCATAAGCCATACAATATTGTTTTTTCATTAAACATAATAACAAAACATATAATAAAATGTAATAAATATAATGAAAAGTGGCTACACTATGTATGTTTTGAGTTGTAAAAATGATACAGATTTTTCTGTTCTCTTAACAAAAATGTAATTTTACAATCTAATTTATAAAAGAAACTTACCGGGTTGTCATCCATGGGGTGTAGCCCAGGCGGGTGAATCATTAACTCAGTTTGATCGAGTCCATGGTGGCTGCCTGGGATCAGCACATCAGGCCTACGGATGCTGTAGTCTCGATTTGAGAGCTGGTGAACATTTGGGTGTTGTATGTGCAACTCGTCATCCCGGGGGTGATGTCGGAGCATCTGGGGACGTTGTTGATGAATTTGATATTGGTGGTGCTGGGGTTGATGGAGGGTATTCAAATGAGCGTAAGGGTCCGAATTCATGTGATGAAAGTCTAACTGTGATTGCTGGGGAATGTTGTATGGCGGTGGAAAATACGGTGGTTGAAAATCGGTGGACGGCGTATGTGTTAAACGCGGCGCCGTCGAAAACGACGGTGTGCTCCCGACAGACCCCGAGCTAAACCCAGGCCTATGGCTCGGGATGAGGTCAGATCGATCCTATAAAAATAAGGAAAACAAAGAAAATTACCATTTAAACATTAAACTAATTATCAACAATAAAAAAAAATATATATATAAAATCTTACTTCGTATGTATTAATAACCATACTATTGTTTTTCAACATCTGTACATGTTGTGTCCGAATATTAAGGGTAATATTACGAGAGCGTGAAGTTCGATTTTTCCTGGCTGACTGCGAATCGACAACTAATGAACTGCCTCACTGGATCGGGATTCAGTGTGTAGAATAGACCACACGAAGCCGTAGGCTACTCACAAAGAATCGCATCGTCGTGGTATTGTTTGGCGACACATCAGCGTGATCTGTAGTGCTTTTTGACTGTCTACTGCCTAGGGCGAACTGGGTTAACCCCTTCGTAAGCGCTGGGTAGCTAGCCTAAGCAATAACAGTGTAAAGAATAACCGTGTTGTCGAATCGCATTAGTAAAAAATTGATATAAAATATTAAAAGATAAGCGTTAAGCAAAGTTAGGTAAGGCATAAACGTATATTGAATTATCAGCCGCGGTTAGGTTGTGAAGTAAATTAAATGTTGTATCTTACCATATTAGTATCTATGTTACATCGCGTACTAAATGTCTGGGGTAAACTTGTGCACTGAAAACCATGCATCACTACCATATGCTAGGTGAGAGAGAGAAGAGGATGACCTATAGCTGAGCTACCTGACACTGTTGTGTCTCAGCGTGATCAGAAACACCCAATTGGCAACAGTTTGTCTCAAGTAAAATTATTATGATTTAATTTTTGGAAGTGACGAACCCAGAAGAGTAGGTTTTTCCTCATTTCTTCTTCGTTCTCTCTCTGAACTAGAACAAGTGTGTGATAATTCCGGTGACGAGTTTCTAGCCTAGAGGGACTTTGCATACGCAAGCAAGTAATAGGCGTAAGAAAAAACGTCTAGCCTTGGGCAGGACGTAAAGAAACAGGGGAAAAGGCAAAAAGACAAGCTGACCAACCACCACAGAAAAACAAAACAAGATACAAATTATTGGTTAATGGGGTTAAGCTACTAGCAGAAAAAAGAATTGAAATATAGAGCACCTCAGGTAATGACTTGGGCTGGAGAGGGCTACCGAAAGCAGAAGGCATTCCGTAAGAATTTGCGTTGCCCAGGCGATTGGTGATGGCAGTAGTACTGTCTAAAGAGTTCAGACGATCCAAAGCGGCTTGAGAGCTCAGTTCTGCGTATGTGTTTGTTGGTGACAGCGTTTTTAGTGGGCTCACCTGGGCCATGTGGGACAGGTCGGCAACAGAGAAAGACTTGCTGCCGTTTTGACGGTTGTTCAGGTATTCTGGAACCTGTGTGTTGTGTGATGTGTACAGCAATTCACTTCGACTCAGTCTGGATCATTCGGTGGTTTAGGTGTTTGACCTTAGAATTGCAGGGTGAAGATTTCAGAGTTGATGATCGTTTGATAGTTCTTAGAAGAATCTCCAAAATAAACCAGTCGGTTTTCGATAAATCATAACATATTTCATAGATTAATCCTTATCTATTGTGTACAGTTCAAGCACTTGAGGGAAAAATTCGCACGACAGCACAAACAGCACACTATAATCAGTTTGCCCAAGGCCTGCTTCCAAAACACTGCCTAGAGGTTGTGATAAAAATAGAAGAATGACCCAGCGAATGGCGCATTCAATCGTATCCTCTTGTCTTTGTAGTAGTACGAGAAAAACTCAGTCAATCCTTATCCGCCACTGGCGAATCAACTCCTCCAAAAAGTGTCCACTCCTGAGCCTCGATTTCATCTAACCCTCTGGGTATCCTCTAAGTTACTTTAAGCCCTGCCTACTTACGCTGGGGGTGTGTTAATGATACTTCAGATGAGCGTTCCAGTATTGTGTTTGGTACACGATCTAATTAACAAGTTCACTCAACGGCAGCCTATCGGGTAAATCTAAACTTCCTACGTCACTGTTTATCAGCCAATAAGGTGCATGTAATCAATGTGTAGCGGGTAACACAGTGGCTAATCTGACGAATGGGTCGTAGGCTATAAGTTATTATGTAAATAGAACAACGTCATTGGAGGAGTACTTTGAGTTATTGGGCGGGGTTTACATCCGATGATTTCCCTTGGATTAATAACTATCTATACTAATGAATGTGATACATCCATGTGCTAATAAAAAAGAGTAATAAGTCTTTCACCAATCATGTCATCTGAGATAACATCTTATATTTGCTCCTCTTCTGCAATACTAACATTTATATTTCTAGTAACTGTATTTCTGCTGAAGTTAGTTGACTATTTTATATGTACGATGAAATTGTTTCAATAGGCTTTATTATCATATTGTTGGCTATCCCATTATATATTTATTTATTTGTTTGTTTATTATTATTCTCTCTTTATACTGAATACCAATTTTACTAAAGCATTGATTTCTAAAGAGGTTCTGTATTGGCATAACACAATGAAAGCAAATAATTATTAGAAAACAATGGCTCAAATATCTAAAAGATAGCAAAATTAATAAAAACAAGCTAAGCAAAAATACGTTAACGAGGGTTTAAAATAGAAATTGTTTAAAGGCCAATAGTGTCATAGATATAAAGCTTGTGTTTATATAATCAGGAGGTTTGTTTCTATTTTGTAGAGCTATACCAGTTCTTTTACTTCAATGCTATTCAAGATTTTTTAAACTAGGGTATTTTGTCTGACTTTATGTAGGCCTACAATGGGTGTTTAAATAATTATCCTATAAATAAGATGATGAATTAACAATGAATTTGACAACACAATTTTCTAGCTATTAATAGTATTGTACCTGTACTTATCTGCGTATTGTATCTATATGCCGACAAAATTAAATATTACTTTTATATAAGCGCATCATTTTTCAAAATAAACATATCAACTAACTATGATTCAACGCAGTATAATATAATTAATTACTTTATGTCTTTATTTGCCAGGTTGATTGTAAATTTCCTTTATAGTCGACAGTTAATACACTGTTTTACAAGTAATCCTATACATACTACCGTTATCGATGCTAATATTAATATCAATTACTGTATCTAATTTAGGCCTAAATTCATACATACGTAGGCCTATATATAAATATTTCCTGTAGACCTAATTATAATAAATGCACAGTATTGTGACGTTGTTTGGTTAGAACTTACAGTACATGTCAGAATATGTGATGTGTGGTTGATTTTTGTGTTAATTATTTTCATGAAATTATTATTAATCAACAAACAGTTTAGAAAGGACGAATACATCTTGTAATACATAATTTGTTGTATACCCAGTGGGGTAATAATATTAGTAAGTCCAACGTTGTATAACTTAAACTTAATGATTGTTAGGAGCAGGATTACCGTGTGTTAAACATGTTTAAAAACATTGTGGATCTTAAGCACATTTTGTTACCTCTACATTGTCTATTTAGTTCCTATAAAGAGGAACAAAGCTTACTGTTAAAAACAATCGTTTAAGTGGACAGCGCATTTGTTAATATAATCATCTTGGAGCGTTACCTGCTAGGCCTAGGTTTTCTTACCTTGGCCTGTTCATGGCCACTTAAACCTCCTGCTCTGAGCCCCATGCGGAGCCGATTGGCAAGCCAGTGCGAGCTAGGCCTATCATTCTCATGGCCGATCACACTGGGGGTTTGCTTATGGGGAATAAATTGTTCCTGTCTCATTACTACATACTGAATACCTTTGTTCTCCCGTGAAGTTTAAAACAACCAAGTCTATTCAATGATACTAATCATTTGTTGATAGTGAGACTTACCAGCATGGGGCCAACAATGAACACAAACGACATGTCATTTCAAAAAAAAAATGCAATACCCAAACAAGCAATCGAATAGAAATTACGGGAAGGAACAATTAAACCTATTATTAAAGTTTTGGACCACCTTCCCAAAGATATGTTCCAACGAATTCATGAAACCGTACAGGCCTAGAACAATATAAGCTTGATTAATGAATCATCTTTCTTTCGGCAGTTGCATGTATTAGATGGTTCTTGTGGTTTGGTGCGAAGAATTCTGCTGTTGTAGGACTGAATGATGTTTCTGTCTCGGGAAACTCCCTTGCATCTTCAATTATCTACAAAGCCACCGTAACCACAAATGATGACGTCAAAGAGTACATCGGACTCACAGACAACACATTCAAAACAAGATTTACAAATCATAAGCACATATATACAAAATATGAACATAAGAACAGCACCGAATTATCAAAACATGTATGGAAACTTAAAGAAAGCAACACCCAATTCAACATTAAATGGTCCATAATTGACAAAGCTACGCCATACAGTACACAAACAAAACGCTGCAATCTCTGCCTTACAGAGAAAATTTCACATAATTTATTCAAACAAACCATCAACTTTAAACAAAAGAACAGAGATGTTTTCCAAATGCAGACACAGAAACAAATTCTTACTCAAGAATACGTAACACAATTAGCATATACACCTGCTGAACCTCATATTATACCTCCATTATCGTCCTATCCACTTACTCCTGAAGACTGCTACTGCATGAAACAGTTGCAGAGTAAAATCACGCTTGACATAAACGTTCTATTATTATTATTATTATTATTATTATTATTATTATTATTATTATTATTATTACTATTATTATTATTATTACTATTACTATTATTATTATTAATAATATATATATAAGGCATTGAAACAAGTAATTGAGTAATAATACTAATATAATTATAATAATAATAATATAATAATATTAATATAAAAAAATAATAATAATAGTACAATTATTAATAGGTCTATATATATTGTCACGGACATTATAAATGTCATTATAGGGCCTAGGCCTATTTGGCTTAAATTGGAATATTAACCAATAAACAGTATAAACGGAATTTACACAGAATACAACATCCACATTCGTCACGTAATGCAATTTTTCTTATTACACCGGAGGATAATCATCTACCTACAATTAACTTCAGACTTGTCACTGATTATTCACAGATCCTACTTAACATAGGTCTTATAAAATTCGGTATTTATTGTATATTAAATGCTCTTGCTACTCTGTCTCGGTAAAATTTAAAGCTGCTGCCTTTTCCGATTGAATTTGAAGATTCATCTGTCGTTTTGTTTCTCTCTGAATTCAATAGTACTGTAGCACATTATTAACACTAAAACAAAATATTAAAGTAAAACAAAAAATCTAATCTATCCTAGTTCATTGAACTGACAACATAATAATATAATTATCTAAGGCCTAACACTTACTTAGAAGGACTTCCAATACGTGTGAAAAAATGTTTTTAAAATCTCAATTCCATTTATTAATGAAGTTTTTAATTTTAACTTAGCTCTTCCATTTCGCATATGGCAGTGTGTTAAAACATTCTTTTTCTTATTGTACGTGGTAGTCTATTAGACTATAAATTCCAATCCACCAATGTGTGAAAGCAAAACACCATGTTCCATATTTTAGAAGGAAAATCGAAAGAATGTCCTAAGAGTTTATCGAGCTTAAGCGAAACATCATTAGCGGTAAGTTGGGTGTAATTCTAGCCACCCACAGAATAGGTTTGCACTTCAACAGATCCGATCAGAAAGGGTTAAATAATCATACAGGTTAGTGACCGGATTGGCCTAAAATTCACTTCTATTCAACGTATCATATTAAACATAAAGGTTTTTACAAAGTCGAATAATACAGGACTATTATACTTCTCCATTGGTTCAGAATAGTTGGATTCAATTCTTTTTTTATGAAGCAGAACAAAGAATAAACATGTACTACTGGTATTTTAAAGCTTCTATTGAATTTAATATAGAAAAACTATTGTTGGAAATGCACCAACTACTAGAAAAGAGAATGCCGGCCAGTAACCCCGTCAGATTTATGTTTGGTTGCAGAAAAGTGCAAGACGGAGGGCAAACATATTAAATAAACAAGTGGAACAGGACTAGATAGACAATTTAACTGAATGAACCCCCTTTTAAAAGATTAAATTGAGTTCAAAAATATTTATAGGGTAATTAAATTTGGCAGCAACAATATTTAAATGTTAATACTAAAACATAAGATATCCCCTATATATTATTATTATTATTATTATTATTATTATTATTATTATTATTATTATTATTATTATTATTATTATTATTATTATTATTATTATTATTATTATTATTGTTGTTGTTATCATTAACTTAGTGACTGTTGATCATTAACTTTGGTAATTATGATGCTATTATAGTCAAAATCGTTAACTCACGCATTGACTGATAATTAATTAGTTTTATAGAGGGCGCGCTAGTACCTGAAGTGGTTGAATGTTCCGAAAGGGTTGTTTTGGTGTACACAATAGAAGCCAGCCTACTTTACTATACACGTATAAAAACGAAAATGAAGAGCCAAGAATAATTAGATATTAGGTAGATAATGAGGTTCCTTATGATCTAAATCATTATCATAATCATCATCCTCATCATCATTAATATAATATCATTACCATTATCGTTGTCGTTATTATTTAGTTATTGCATCCACCATAGTGACGAAACACTATTTAACTGCTCCATAATCTTGAAGAATTGAAATCAAAACATACCGGTATGAATCAATTAGCATAGCATAAAACGATAGTAAATATGATGATGGTATCTATCAATGATTACGCGATTCTTATTACCAATGTATCCGCAAAACAGATACTGTATATAAAACAAGAGGAAATAATAACAGGTAAATGACAGTACACTTGGAAACCCGATTAGCTAGCATATGAACCATGTCGGTGGTGGCCGTTTTGGAGACTCTTGCAAAGTGACATGATTGCAGCTAAATTGCCCAGTGACCGGGAACTAATAAAGTCAGT